GACGCGGGGGGGAGGGGTGATGCGCCGCCAAGGGGCGAGCGGGGTTGGAGTCGAGTCGGGTAGTTGACAAGGACTAGTCTTGCGGGATTTTGGCAAGAATAACTTCAAGCAAGGCTTGGTGCGATCTCGCCGGCAAGCTTGATGTACATCTAATGGAGTCGTAGAAATTGACATTGCGCGAGCNACACGTGTGTGATCTAGGGCGAGAGGCATGGGGGTCGGTTCTTGTTGGAAGGACGAAGAGTTGCAATTTAGTTCAATGGTCAAAGACTTTTTCGTGCTTTCGTCGGCGTTGAGGGGTGATGTGGGCGAGGAGCCACGCCAATGGTTCATGGCTAGCAATCAATGTCCTCACCTGATTCGTGTTCTCGTCAGCAGAGGGAGGATGAAGACGATGATTCTGAGGGAAGTACGGTTCGGAGACAGTTTTTTGGCACTGCGACGAGCAGGCTGCGCCATGAAAACCGACAACGATGGGTGTTGCAAACCGTCGTGGCAACAACTTCCGTACCAAATACATGAAGTGCATAGGTTAATAGTGTGTTCTTCAAAGGGCACACAGCAGCGCGAGACACACGCACAGCACGGACTCCAACCCTCCTCCCCTAGAGAATCCGACCTTTGGCAACAAAGACATCACGGGCCTTCCCGTTGGTTGCCAACCAGCTGTAACACGGGATCGGCCCTGCTCTGTTGCATTCGACGCGTACGAAGACTCGTTCAACCCCAGCCATGCGGGAACACTACATCACCCGCTTAGCAGCACCGATTGGCCTTGCGTCTGCTGTGCGGTGTCTTTTGAAAGCGTAAGCACGCAATCACCCTGCTGTATGTACAGGCGAAAATCATCCGTAGATCCGGAAAGAGGCACGACGAGTACGTCATTTGCCAAGCAGTCGTTTTTACGTGAGTTCGCTCGTGCCTGACGGAGATACACCCAATAGGCGCACGGGCGACATACGTCGAACTTCAATTAGTTTCTATTAGTTTTTGAAACCCTAGCCAAAAAGAGCACAGCTTGTTCCGAACTCCCACGTTCTCTCATGGGAGCTTGTGTGGATTGTTCTGGGTCCTGGATCTTTTCCCTTCGATGATTTGGATGAGCGGCAGTGACACTATTGTATTGCTTGAGATCACTGAAGGTGTTCGCGTCAAAGGTTGCGCCTAGCACGGATGCCAGAAGATACTGAGCAGAGGTAGGGACTGTTTTTACTAATGCCAAGAAAAACAGCAACAGCACCAACAATCGAGCACTCACAAAATACAAACTACCGGCCTCATGCAAACATGATACCTGGGCTATGGTTTCCCCTGAAATATTTGGGAAACCCCACCGTCTAAAGTAAAACTACATACAAGAGTTAGGCAACCATGCGCCGCGGCTTGGAAAAACACCAGCCGTGCATTTCCCTGATACTTGATGCGGCGCGACAGCGCGTCGATTTTTATCACCGAGGCTGTGCTCTCGTCGTGGCTACTTCCGCTGCTGAACAAACTTCGCTGGGGCCTCTTTTAGGACAGCATTGCCGCCTTCCTACCGTGTAAACAAAAATACAAACACTGCAAAAGCGAAGCGTCCCGAGTCCACCGTACAACAACCACAGCTGCCTGGTGAGCACCCGTGCTGCTGTAGACACGACAGCTGCCTTCAAGGCGACGACGAAAGGCAAAAGGCAAGCGGAGACACCGGCGGCAACGCCATCACGAACAACAATATTACTCTACACACACGGCCGATTTTCGCACACCCTGGCGAGCTCAAGAGGGAAAAATCGATGCTTCTTTGCCTCCAGGGTAAGAGCAATGAGACGTGCCAGGGTTACACCTGACAAAAAAATGCATGTCTGGTGATTTCTTCCTCTCCCCCCAAAGCGAACATTGGCTGCTCCCCGCTAGTAGCACGCGTCTTGCACACACACACACACACGCCCCGCCCTCCCAGGCAATAGGCCTGCAATTCGGTGGTGGTCCTGGGGGGAAGAAGATCATGAAGCAAGAGGTGGGTGCGCGGTGCATGGTCAAAAGAAGGAGGCGAGGTAGAAGGTGACATCGAGAGCAAGGCGGCAGCGGTGTTGGTACAACGAGAGCAACAGCAGAGGCAGCGGCAGCAGCACGCACCGAGGAGAAACCGTGGTGGGTGAAATGCCAAAAGGGCAATCGCTTCAAGTTACGTTGTGCGCGATGAAATAGCAAGCACCCACGACTGGATAGGATAGACGAAAACAAAGCTGCTGTTGGATTTAATTGATCGATCAATCTATTCATCTGCGGAAGAGATGAATGTGTTGTTTTTTATCGTTTGTTTCAATTGATCGATCAGCCTATTTCGGACTCTCATCTGTGGAAGAGATGCGAATGTGTTGTTTCTTATCGTATGCTTGAACTGATCGATCAACCTATTCCGGACTCTTATCTGTGGAAGAGATGCGAATGTGTTGTTTTCTTATCGTATGCATTAATTGATCGATCAACCTATTACGGGCTCTTATCTGTGGAAGATATGATGTGTTGTTTTTTACCGTATATTTGAATCGATTGATCATCCTATTCCGGCCTCGTATCTGCGGAAGAGATGATTGTGCTGTTTTTTACCGTATATTTGAATCGGTTGATCAACCTATTCCGGCCTCTTATCTGCGGAAGAGATGAATGTGTTGTGTTTCTACGAAAAAAACAACGGTACTGGTGCGATGGTAGGGAGCCTACTGCAGCCTCTAGGGACTCAATATGCTCTACAAGACACAAATCACCCGGAAGCACAAGACTCACCCCGCCCTGTGTACCCTTCGCCACGGAAGCATGACCACGGCGGCTGACACAGCTGAAAGCAAGACACGACAGACCCTTGCATCAAAGATGCACCTTTACTTCAGCACCACGCATTGGCCTGGCAACGCAACAACTTCTCTACACTCTGAGGCAGCAGCAGCAGCAGCCGATACACTCACGTAGTCTTGAACTCAAACCCTGACGTGCCCTTCGGGTCGGACAATGTAGTCGCTCCCGCCTAGGCCCGCTGCCCCTCGCCGGTTGAGACCGAAAATGTCGTCGTCGCTCTCGTCGCCCGGCCTTCGACGTCCGGGCCCGCAGACATCGATGTCGCTCTCCGTGCCGTCTGAATCGGGCGCCGCTTCAAGTGCGGCGGCGTCACCAGCACCGCCGCCGCCCTGGACGCTTGGTTCCGGTGCCGCTGGTTCTGGTGCTGCTGCCGCTGCTATTGCCGTTGCCGGTTTTTCTGGTGTTGGCGGTGGTGCCAGGGCTGTGGTTTCTGGTGATGCTGGGGCTTCGTCCCCAAGACTAATAATCTCGCCATTAGCGACCAAAGTTTGCGAAGGGGCGGCGGCGGCGGTGGCGGCGGCCGCTGCACCTTCGTGCTCGGGGTCTTGGGGTACCCCTGCAGGTAGCAAGAGCGATATCACGGTAGGTACCGGCGGGACCGCGACGGTGCCTAGGATGTGGCGAGTTCGTTTGTTCATCGCTTCGATGATACCGTCGCCAGAGGACTCCTTAGCTGCGGACAGCGGCAGAGCACGCCCCTTCCGCTTCCCGCCATCCGAATCCGCGGCACCGGTAGCAGCAGTAACATCACCAGCAACATCAGCAGTGGCGGCAACAGCAGCAGCAGCAGCAGCAGCAGCAGCAGCAGCAGCAGCAGCAGCTGAGCCACGCCTCGGCCCGCGAGCATGGCCGTTCTCACTGCGGCGCTGTCTCACAGCCAGAGCCACCATGCCCTCTGTCGCGTGGGCCCCGCAGAACTCCCTCGAGCCGGTTTGGGCCTCGCCGTAGGAGGCCACCTTCACGCAGCCCGCGTGGCGGCACTTCTTGCTGCGGACGTCTATCATCCCGTCCGTAGCGTGCCGGCTACAAAACTCGGGCGTCCTGCTACCGTCCAGGCTGTACGAAGGCTGTCTGGTGCAGGAGCGGTGCGAGCATCGCCTCATGCGGACGTTCACCATCCCAGGCTTGCCATGCTCCGCGCACAGCTCCGCCTTGTTGGTGCCGTCGACCCCGTACGACGGTTGCTTGGTACAACCTGGGTGGCTGCATCTCTTACTGTGCAGGTTGACCATCCCCCCCGTGGCGTGCCGTTGGCAGTACTGCGGTCTCTTGCTGCCGTCCTTGCCGTACGTTGGCATCGTGGTGCACCCTTGCTGCTGGCACTGCTTGATGCGGACGTTGACCATGCCCTCCTTCGCATGCTCCTGGCAGAACTCGACTTTTTTCGTGCCTCTGACTCCGAACGACGGGCTGACCAAGCAGCCCTTCTGAGCGCACCTCCTGCTAAGAACGTCTACCGTCCCCTTCGGAGCGTGAAGGACACAGAACTCCGGCTTTTTCGACCCGGCCTCCGCGTAAGACGGCCTCGTGGGACAACCTCCTGGGTGGCAGCATGTCCGGTCTCGGACGTTAATCATGCCCTCCTTGGCATGTCCACGGCAATACAGCACCTTCCTCTTGCCATCGTTCAGGCCAAATGATGGATTCGTGGGGCAGCCTGGAGAGGCGCACTTAGACGGCATGTCATCTCTCGAAACTCTCGGCAGTAACACCCCCACAAGTCAAAGTGCGGTTGATCTGTTGTAGAGCATAGCGCTCAGGCTGACAGAGAGCACCTCGACATTCGTTGCGGCCAAGGCTGGGGAGGCCGACAGATGGGTCTGAACCGTGTACTTGCATACGAGGGATGGTTTTGTTTTCAATCACGGCACCTCCTACGACCAAAAGTCCGGGAACAGTCCAGTCAACCCGCAACAACAGAACAGCAGGTGCAGAGAACCTGCCCTGCAGCCTTGTCAGGCTTCACAGCAGTTCATCGCCAACGTGCAGGAGAAAGGGCATAGGATGGGCAAGGAGTGCGACCACGAGTTTTGCCCCAAGCGGGCCCATTACGGAGTGAGTAACAGGGTCCTTCTTTGGGTTGTGCTCGTCGGGTACACTACTCTGTTTACTTCGTAAAGACCGCCGTCCCGGTCGTCGCATGTACGTTGGTGTCTCAGATACGTTCCCTTCTGCGCGCCCGCTGGTACTCGTTGTGCTCTTCATCAGTCTTTGCTCTTTTTGCATGTCCAGGACAACAGGAGTTGGACGTGTGCAATCGAGTACCATAAGCTACCGGTAGCCTTCTTTGTTTCTGTCGGACTGTTTCTGCGAGGAGATTTTGAAACATCACTGACGTGCCGTATCTCGCAACTCAACCCCCCCCGCACAGCAGATGCAGCCTCTCTGCTACTACTTTGAACTACATACACTATATCGGCATGCCTGTCGTCCGTTGCCCTATTATAGAACGCACCGGTGCTGTGCTGTACCCTTTGGGTTACGGTAACGTGAGCTTCCAGTACCGATGATCCACAGTCATCTCTCTCCCCGGCCTGCCCCCCGCGTCCCTGGGGTAGGCCGAGGTTCCGCAAGTGGATCTAGACCTCGAAAGACCACTCAGCAAAGACGGATATACAGTCCCTAGCACTGTTGAGAGGGGGATTCTGAGTTTGGCGGTTGGGAGTTACTGCTGTCGTGAGATCGGGGTAGCTCGTGAGCCGCTAGCTTTGGTACAGTCGACCCCGTTTTTTTCCGGGAAAAACCATGTGCGTCCTTAACCCCGTAAGACTAGATCGCCTTTTGGGGACACTTTTTGTCCCCATCTTCTTCATCTGCTTTACCTCGCGAAGAATAGCACGATTGTCTCCTCCTTTGAACCACTCAACCAGGGGGGTGCCAGGGTACACGGGGACGACTCTGGTTTAGTATGGATGCTTTGTAGAGTGGAGGAGTATGAGGGTAACGAACACGTCGAATCGGGGGGCGATTACGCCGCGGGCGAAGTTGCGCCGCGTTGTCTACCCTTGGGTGGAAAGCGCTACTAGGGGCAAGCGCGGAAGAAGCACCTAGCCCACCGTTGATAGGAGGCACCGGGCAACCTAGGGCTTGCGTTAGAAGGTCTCGCTTTCCTCTAGAGAAATATCTTGAAAACCTCCTTTTCGTGCCCCGTTTACCACGCTCCCGCCAGTTGCTGTCTATAATCCCCATCAAATGTTCCCTTGAATCGAGTGGACATTTGATAGGGATTATAGACAAGAGACGGCTCAAGTGGGAAGACAGCTTTGCATTTGCACCCAGGGATGGGNCCCGTTTACCACGCTCCCGCCAGTTGCTGTCTATAATCCCCATCAAATGTTCCCTTGAATCGAGTGGACATTTGATAGGGATTATAGACAAGAGACGGCTCAAGTGGGAAGACAGCTTTGCATTTGCACCCAGGGATGGGACTGTCTGCACCATCCAATCAGCAGGCGTTCTTCGCTCTTTTTCTTACATTTCAGAAATTTCGCAAGATCGTCGAATTTCTGTGCGTGGTAAGGGCGTTAAAGCGGGGTTGCGTCCTTAAACTTCAGGGGACGATATCTCAACATCCCCGGGGTCAATGAAGGCATGCTATACCTCAAACTACGCGTCTTTTGATAAGGAAGGGTGTGGCACGAAAAGTCAGCATCGACGAGACGAATGGCGACCGTTTGTTGACGTCGAACATATTTACAATACTTAAAATGAGATGTACAGCAGTCCGTCGGGGACGTGTTGAACACAACTACATACAGGACACAAGTTTGAACTTGGCCAACTAATGTACTGCTTCGCTGTCAGCGGAAGAAGGAGGAAAGTCCAAGTAGAATTATATTTATCTAATTCTCGTGAAACACAAAAACGAGCGTATTTCAGCGTCGCACCGAGAAACACCAGTACATATAACTGTCCCGGCGAGACCAAGCTATCCTGACGGCTTTTCCCTCCACATACAACTATCGCGAAGAGTTCCCTGAACCTCCCCCCGCGGCTTGGCTCTACGGCTCTGTTGAGTTCATGAGCAAACGAATGAACGGTCTTCGAAAGAAGGTACTGCGTCTCACGGTACTCGCCACCCGTTCCCTTCGCGTACAAATAGGATCGAACGTCCTCCAAGCGAGAGACAACCTCGCCCTCGGTGAGGGACGAGGTTATCCATGACTCCGGCCTGCCGTCGCCGTCGCCCTCTTCGCTCGATAACTCGTCGTCCATTTCTAAGCCGGCGAGATCCCTCTCTGCTGCCTGCAGTTCCAACTCCACCTCCTCTTCTAACACCTCGGGGTCGTCCTCTACCGTAAGGCACGTATTGACCGCCGTTCGGACTTCCTGCTCTGTGAGGTCTGCGCCCTTCTCGACAAAACAAATTGTCCGTCAACACTTGCGGCATGGACCTATTGTCCGTTGCGCTAGCTGGCATCGACATGTTTGAGACCATGTCACAAAGGCCGTCGATGATACCGCGTCGTCCTTGTCCTCTAGGTCAGACCGCGTGTTCATGCCCTTCNACCGCCGTTCGGACTTCCTGCTCTGTGAGGTCTGCGCCCTTCTCGACAAAACAAATTGTCCGTCAACACTTGCGGCATGGACCTATTGTCCGTTGCGCTAGCTGGCATCGACATGTTTGAGACCATGTCACAAAGGCCGTCGATGATACCGCGTCGTCCTTGTCCTCTAGGTCAGACCGCGTGTTCATGCCCTTCAGAACGATGCAGTGCTCCCTGGGAAGGATGCCAGCCTTGAGCCAGCACCTGATGACCGTCTGAACGTCGAAGCTACGCCACTTCTGAGAACAGATCTCCGTGACGTCCAGCATTGTCGCCTGTCCTGCATCGCTGAGGCCCCGGCACCCTCTGCCGAAACGGAAAGGGCTAATGTTATAACGAGCTCGACAATGAAGTTGAAAGAACACCATTTTCAGAGCCTTCGCATGACCTGCGACGACGGTAACAAAGAGCGCCCCTACATTGTTGTTTTGAATTCACCTTTGTATTTTTCGTGCACGGACGGTGTCCCAGTCCTCGATGAGGTCTGCCAGCCTTGCCACCATCTCGGTCTTGTAGTGGCACTTGAGTACAAACAGGATGCCAACGTCCATGGGCTGGTAGACAGAAGTGACGTTCGGAGGCAAGAGGATGATGACGATCTGCGGGTCGTTGCTTCTGATCTTGTGGCCGGGGCAGTTGTCCCACAAGTGGGCCACCTTCTTGGACGTCTTGCCTTTGACGAAGGGGACAAAGACTTCGTCAAACCACCGCTGACAAATGGCTGCGTCGAGCCAGGCACTCTCCTGGGCAAAGTAGGGAACTGGCGGTTTGCGGACGTGGCGGGAAACCATCGTTTTTTCGACGTGCTGATGGCGGCCAACGGCACCATCAGAGACCCGGTCGTATTGCAGGCGACCACCGTGCACCGATCCTTGGCCTTCATGGCCTTCGAACCCTGCGCGGTTTTGTTGTTGACGCCGGCGGCGGCCTCCCCTCTCGTGACGTATGTACCTCTCGGGAAGCAGCGGAAGAAAAGTCTCGTCTCGACAATGTTAAGAATAAACTCGACGTCGAACTCCTGCAGCTGCTCACGAATTCTCTCGATCTCCTCTGCCACCTTCTGCTTGTCCACGTCGCCAGCTTCTCCGTGCAATTGGACGTGAGTGAAGCTGTAGCGAATCAGGAAGCGATGTAGCCAGCCGCTGGTCGCCTTGAAGTTGGTCTTCCCCATCTGCGCCGCGATCTTCAACGCCTGGGCCTGGATCATCGAACCACTCACGCCAATCTTTGTTTCCTGCGTCGGGAAAGACATAAAAAAACAACAGCAGCGACATGGTTTCGATCAACTCTCCCTTGAATTGGTTGTGCGTTCAGTCGGCCAGCTTGAAACAGGTGGACTAGAGCTTGTCGAACCCCCAACCCAGCAGCTTGGTCGAGAGTGGGAGGAGGTGTAGGGGCGGAAAGGTTTAGGCGTATAGACAACCAAGTTGTATCCTGACCAACATATGACTAACGCAAAATATGTACTTACGTTAAAGCGTGCTCTTGCGATCTTGATCCACTTGCGTAGTTTCTCTTCCACTTCGTCGTGTACCGGCTTCGGGGCGCGAAGGGCGTCCTGGTTGAGCTCCATGTCGCGGGGTCAGCGATTTTCTCCGGGTTTATCAACTTGCTGATATACGAAGTATCGACGTTCCACTTTGCAGCAACCATGCTCCTCTTAGCCCCCCCTGGACCTCCTTGAACATCTGCAATCGCTGCGTCATCGATAACTTGTTTTTGCAAGTGTCCCGTCCGGGTTTGGACACCCGCACTTTTTTGGCGACACTACCTGTGCCCTCCCCCGCGGCACCTCCGCCGCCTCCCCACGTGGCACCTCTGCAGCCCCCCCCGCGGCGCCTCCGCCGCCCCGCCCCGCGGTGCGTTGAGGCCGTTTCCCCTTCCTTGCAAATTCTGACTCTTTGCCCCCAGCCCGTTGCCTCGTCCTACGAGACATATTTTGCAAGAGACGAGGGAATTGTGACAAGTCAGGGCAGGTTGTTGGTAAATACACCCACGCGAAAAAATATGCCGTTGTCCCAACACAACATGCGCTTTTTTTCCGAAGAACGAGAGTGCTCGCACCTACCGCCGAGAGACTGCACGCAGGCCAGCAGCTACAATTTACGCTGAATACAAATAAGACAATAGAATATCACGACTGCGTCTATTTTGTATTTTTTTCAAGTGCGTACCGTAAACACCAGTCCTCTGAACGTACAAAAGTTCACCTTCTAGCAGTGTTGAACAACGAGAATTACTTCGGCAGCGCAGCATGCGAACTGCTTCAGGCGCAAGTTACGTGCCAAAAGATGTACAGCAGTAGCGAGAGTCTTCAATTGGTTTTTGACGCTCACTACAAATACACACACACCGACACATATTGACGATCTTTTGTCATGACAAAAAAAAATACACACACACACGCAGCCTTGTGCGGACAATCTCAGTGAGTTTTCCTGGCATGCTGACACTGCTGTTGTTTGACAAGAACTAGACAAAGGCAAGGACAGGCAATGTACATGTAACATCGTGGTGCACGCTTTCCTGCCCAACAACTCAACAGCACGCGTTCGGCCGATGGCTGCTGCTGCTGCTGCTGCTGCTGACTACTGTAAATGACAATCATCACCTACTGCTGTTGTCCTCGTTGTCGCTACTGCTGTTCACCTCCATGGGACTTGTGCCTGTGCCGATCTTGCCTGTGGTCGTTCTCCTCTGACAATCTGTGCACTCTCTCTGCTGCCCGAAGCCTTCCTCACCGATTCCTCGGCCACAGAAGCCATGCATCGGCTGCCCGCATGGGCACTGGTGGACTGCGGTGATCAGTAAAGATCTCATCGCACACGTTGGTTCTCCACATGTTTTTTTGGCGGCATGAGTTGGACCGCCGATAGATGGGAGGAATCTATCCATAAGAACACCCAGTTACAGCTGCAGCACCAGACCGCTCGCTACTTCTGCTGTCTGTGCGTCGATACTTCTGCACTCACGGTGGTGCGTGGTGCGTGCAAAGAGCGGCCCGCAGGACACAACAAAAGAGGAACGCGGCAGAAAAAAGGGTGTACCCCATTATCGTACATTCCGCCGCCCCCCCTGGTGCTCAGAAAAATGTTTCCTTAAAGCGGGGAGTTTCCTGAAAGCGAGCGTCCTGAAAGCGGGGTCGACTGTAGCTGCAAAACACTGGATCCTGACGCCCCGGCATGGACACCGGGGCTATGCAGCAGCCGAGAGCACGGTGAGGGTGGCGGAGTGACCGCACGCCGTGGGGGTATGCCCCAGAGAGAAGAAAGGAGAGAGGCCAGAGATGGAGGGCCACACCGCTCCGTGACAACAACTCTACGGGAAACAAGGCAAGAACCGGGGTAACTGTAACGTTAGCCGAGTGTTCGCAAGAAATAGCAAAAAAAAAAAAAACAGGGGAAGATGGAGGAAAAGGCGGGGTCGGGCGGCGCGTAGGCTAAGGGAGCAGCGCGCGCCGCGCGAAAGGGCAGCAGGGTCAACTTCTTAGGGTAGCAACCTGGAATGTGCGGACTTTGGCTGAAAACGGGGCCAATGGATACGGGCGAGCCTACAGCATTCTACACGAGGCAGCCAGACAAGACGTGTCGGTGGTAGGAATGCAGGAGACACGGAGGGCAGGTCGAACGGAATTTGCGCAGCGGGTTTCCGGGTGTTGTGTTGTGGCACGGAGCCTGGTGGAGTCCATGGTGTGGGGATAGCCGTCAAAGAGTCACTGTGCAAGACATCCACGTTCACCACGGAGTTTATCGACGAACGCCTTATGGCCATGAGGTTTCTGTTGGCAGGCCACCGTGGAGCGGTCAACTTCGTAGCCGCGTCCGAACCTTCAACGGCCGACAGCAAACGCGTGTTTTGGGAAAAACTTGACAGCCTCGAGCGGAGGATCCCTTCCAAAGAATGTGTGTATGTCCTACTGGACGCGCGGACGGGAGATAGGTTGGACGGAGGGGACGGAAGGGTAATAGGAATGTACGGGCGTGATGAGCTCAACGACAATGACATGCTACTGTTGAATTTCGCAACGGAAAACAGGCTAGCTCTGACGAACACGTTCTTTGAGACACTCCAGGGCGGAATATGGCACACATACAACGATGTGTCGGGAAACGATTGCAAGCGCCTTGACTACATCCTGGCAAGGCAGACACATCACGGCCGAGTATCTAACGTGCTCGTAATCTCCCATCCGGTTCGTCCAGTCAAAGCAGACTCAGACCACAATATGGTAGTAGCCACCGTCAACCTCGGTGGCAGGCTTGCCCACAACCGTGCAGTCCGGACTTAACCGAAACAGAAGCAATTATACCGACGGGAATTGCAGTTCGAAGCAGCACGGTGTGCGGTGACTAATCGGTTTCTACTCAACCTCGACACACGACTGGACAAGCGAACAACCGCCGCGGAATTGGCGACCGACTTTACCAATGCTCTCCTCGAAGCAGCGCGGACGACCCTGGGGGAGGAACCGCGGAGACGCCGCACGCAGGAGTGGTGTGAGACCCCAGAGACTCGAGCAGCGCTGGAGCAGGCTCTTACCGAACGGCGGGAAGCGCGCTGGGCGATGAGAGGCAACTAGAACTCAGCAACGTGGAGGGTTCTCAAAGCAGCGTGTAAGGGAGTGGCTACAGCAGTCGAACGGGCATTTATGCCCACCTGGACGGATATGTGACTGAACGCAAAGAAAGCAATCTACAAAGATTGCGACAAGCGAGGACTGTACCAACACCTCAAGAGATCAGTGGGCCTCAGCGGGAGACAAGCGGAGGGACAACAGTTCGTCGCGGATGAGAACAGCGTGTTGCTCCGGAACAGGGACGACATCCTCCCGCGGTGGGTGAGATTCTTCAGCACCCTACTCAACACCAAATCC